TCTTTAGACTTAGGTTTCCTTGTTCTACTCTTCCCTTGTGGAGAGCCTAGGCAGGATATGGGTGGATGGAAGAGAGTTTTACTTCTTCCTCCAGCTCCTTTGCCCCTCTTCTTCCACCTTCTCCAACTTCTCTAACTTCACCTCTTTCTCCTCCTCCTTCTCCAACTCCCTCCTTTTTCTCCTTCTGCAACTCCCTCAACAACTCCTCCTCTTTTCCTTCTCCAGCTCCTCTAATTCCTCCTCTTCATCTTCCTTCTATTTTTCTTCCTCTAACTCCTTCTCCTACTCTTTCAATTCTTCCAAATCTTCCTCCTCCTCCGGTAACTCTTCCTTCTCCTGCTCTAGTTCGACTTTCTCCTGTAACTCCTCCTCCTTTTCTGGTTCCTTTTCCTTGTCCAGTTCCTCTTCCTCCTTTTCCTCTAGTTCCTCTTCCTCTCATAACTCCTTCTCCTCCTCCAGTTCCTTTTCCTCTGGTAACTCCTCCTCCTCCTCCAGTAACAGTTCCTCTTCTTCCTGTAACTCTTCCTCCTCTTCCCTCAGTTCCTCTTCCTCCTCTTCCCTCAGTTCCTCTTCCTCCTGTAACTCTTCCTCCTCTTCCTCCAGTTCCTCTTCCTCCTATAACTCTTCCTCCTCTTTCTCTAGATCTTCTTCCTCTGGTAACTCCTCCTCCTCCAGTTCTTGTTCCTCCTGTAACTCCTTGTTTTCCTCTTCTAGTTCCTCTTTCTCCTGTAATTCTTCATCTTTCTCCAGTTCCTCTTCCTCCTGTAACTCCTCCTCCTCCTCCAGTTTCTATTCCTCCTGTAACTCTTCCAACTCCTCCTCCTCCAGTTCCTGTTCCTTCTGTAACTCCTCCAACTCCTCCTCCTCCAGTTCTTGTTCCTCCTGTATATCCTCCTTCTCCTCTTCCAGTTCCTCTTCCTCCTGTAACTCTTCCTCCTCTTTCAGTTCCTCTTCCTCCTGTAACTCCTCCTCCTTAATTTCCTATTTCGCCTGTAACTCCTCTTCCTCCAGTTCCTCTTCCCCCTGTAACTCCTTCTCTTCTAGTTCCTCTTCCTCCTATAACTCTCCCTCCTCCTCCTCCTCCTCCTCCTGTTCCTGTTCCTCCTGTAACTCTGGCTCCTCCTCCTTCAGTTCCTCTTCCTCCTGTAACTCCCCCAACTCCTCTTCCTGCTCTAACTTCTCCAACTCCTGCTCTTCCTGTTCCTCTTCCTCCTGTAATTCCTCCTCCTCCTCCAGTTTCTCTTCCTTTTCCTTCAATTCTTCCTACTCCTCTTAACTCCTCCAAGTCATCCTTTTTCCCTCTTATTTTCTAAGTTTTCTGCATAATTTTTGATTTTTCTTTTTTATGATTTAGTGTAAATGTGTAGAAAACTCATCCTGGAGGATACAGGGAGGAGAACACATATATTTATTTGTTTGGATAGCTAAAAATATTTCCGAAAGGTTATGTAGGAAACTGGTGACATTACTTGCTTTTGAGGAGAATAACTGGGTGGCTGGGATGGTCGGGGTGGAAGGTAGGTTTTGCACTTCTGTACCTTGTGAATTTGGAACTGTGATTAATAGTCCCTGAAAATAACGATATTGAAAACACATAAAAGCATGAAAAAATGTACGAAAACATCAGTTTGGTAAGAGTAAGAGTAAAAGAGAAAGTTACCCTTTTTTTTTTTTTTAAATTAAGAAAAAGAAAAGAGAATTCAATCTGCTTAAGGCCTAGGGCTTCCAGTCTCTTTCATTCTTTGAGTTTTGTTCATAGGAATTTGTGACCTATTTTTGAATGTACTAAGCCTTTGTTGAATAATTACCTTCAAGAAGCATATGTTTATTAATTAGACATCTTATGCAATCCTAGTTGAAGGGGAGATTTTCTTTTATTTATTTTAAAAATCATGTAGGGAGACTTGAACAAATTGGATCTTAGTGTTTACTTAAGGAATGGAGACCTTGCTGTTTTTCCTGTTGCTTCCTAGCTAAGCAGGAAGTCTGACCTCTTGAGCTAAAACAGAATTCGTCTAAGACTTCTAATAATAAGATTTTCAAGGTGGGGAAAGGAAACTTATTGTCCATGTAACCTTGGAAAATGACTTACCTTTACCTCAATTTCATCTATAAGTAAGGATATTAACGCCTACTTACAGAGTTAAAGAATTAGAGATAGTATTATATAAATCAGTATTACATAAGCACAGAACCTGACACCTCATGTAGATCTTTAAAATTGTATTATTATTATTATTATTGTTAGTTTTGGTTAATATCAGTTCATTTTAGACCTCTTGAAGGACTAAACACTATGAAATTTTTTTTCATTGAGGGTGAATGAAAATGAACGATAGTTGTTTAGGAGGAGAAGGAGTATATCAGTTATTTATTGCTGTGTAACCATCTGCTGTGAATTTAGTGCCTTAAATAAACAACAAAGAAATGTTATTTCTTGGCTGGGTACGGTGGCTCACGCCTATAATCCTAACATTTTGGGAGTCCGAGGTGGGTGGATCACTAGGGCAGGAGTTCAAGATCAGCCTGGCTAATATGGTGAAACCTCATAGCTACTAAAAACACAAAAAATTAGCTGGGCATGGTGGCACATGCCTGTAGTCCCAGCTGCTCAAGAGGCTTAGGCAGGATCACTGCTTGAACCTGAGAGGCGGAGGTTGCAGTGAGCCAAGATTGTGCCACTGCACTCCAGCCTGTGTGACAGAGCAAGACTCTGTCTCAAAATAAAGAAATATTATTTCTCATAATTCTGTGGTTTGGTTTGGTGGCTTTTCTGCTTGTTTCCTTACACTTACTGGCATAGATGCAGTCAGATGACAACTGGAATGGTTAGATGGTCCCAGATGGCCCCACTCACGTGTCTGGCAGTTGCCGTTGGCTGTTATAGCATGTTGGTTCTCCATGTGGCCTCTCATGTCCGATAGGCTAGACCAACTTTCTTACAGCATGGCCATCCCAGGGCAGCATTTTAAGAGGGCAAGTTCCATTGCTTGCATAGCAAGTCTCTGCTTGCTTTTGTAGTTGCTGATTTCACAGGGTCAAGTCCAGAGTCACTACAAGAGGGGACTTAGACTCCACCTTGGTAAGGGAGAAATAGCAAATAATTTGTGACCATTTTAAATATACCACCAGCTTGGTGGTTATTTGATCTGCATCTTGGACTAATATTAGGCCCAGAAAGAGATTCTTTTGGTTTCTTACATTTTCTGTATCATTGATTCCTTCTTTAGTCCAACATAAGTGATGATAAAAGAACTGAAAGTATCAGGGGTGGGCGGAAAAAGAAAAAAAAATAAAAGAACTAGAAGTATCATATTTGTAGTAAAAATTGGAATGAAGGATAGTAGCTGCTTTTATGTATTTGAAGATCTTTCCTGTGAAGGAGGGACTAGCTCCAGCATTTGGAAATGATTAGAAAGCAGATTTCTCTTCAATATTAGGAAGGATTGTTCTGTGAGATACTGAGCCTTGTTGAATGCCATCCCTCCCTCACCCTTCTGTGTTGTTGGAAGCAGTAAAGTAGAAGACCGGTAATTATGTGCTGGGGCTTTGAAAGGAGGGTTTTCTTCACTAAATGACTTGATGTATGTGATTCCATACCTTAGCAAGAATCGTATTGCTTTTCTGTTGAGATTAGGGGTGAGGGTGGGGTGGTATTAGAAAGGGAGAGAACTGCTTTATTCAGACTGTGAGTTACTCTACTGAGAATTTTAATTTTCCTTTATAAAAGAAAGATTTATTTTCTGGAAACTTTGAAAGTTGGAATTTACTACTGGGGTGAAGAAAACTTCAATTTGGTACAGTGTCAGGGAGGTACTGAATCTTGAAGATAGCTTCCTATGGATCTTCTTGGTTTAAAATGAAAGGAATTAAGTAATGGTTTTAGGATAAGTCAGAAATGCGTACAATGCTCCAGCAGCTATAGGTTAATTAGACAGATTATGTAGTTTTTATAGTTAAAACAGTTTTGCCCATATCATGTATTTTACCCTTCTCAAACATGATTTTGACATCTAATTTTATAACAAAACACTAGGCCCAAATGGTACTATTGTCAGCCGAGAATACTGTGTCAATAACTGATCAGAATGTAAACCTGTTTCCTTTCTCTTTTTTTTGAGATGAAGTTTCTCTCTGTTGCTCAGGCTGGAGTGCAGTGGTGTGATCTCGGCTCACTGCAACCTCTGCCTCCTGGGTTCAAGCAATTCTCCTGCCTCAGCCTCCCTAGTAGCTGGTATTATAGGCGCTCGCCACCATGTCCAGCTAATTTTTGTATTTTTTAGTAGAGATGGGGTTTCACCCTGTTGGCCAGGCTGGTTTCCAAACTCCTGACCTCAAATGATCTGCCTGCCTTGGCCTCCCAAAGTGTTGGGATTACAGGTGTGAGCCACTGTGCCCAGCTCCTTTTTCTTTTTGTGTCTTTCTTTTCTTTGTTGCAGGGAGGAGGAGGAGGAGGTGGAGGCTACCATTTACCCCACTGTAAAGTACTGTGATGTAGGTGCTGCCCTTGACTTTGTTTAATGTCACCAAGCCAGCCACTTTGGTCAACAGTGTTTTCTATGGAACCTCCCTCATTTCCCATACTTGATTTTTTAGAAGACTGAGAGTAAGGCGATAAGCTGCAGTACCTACAGTGATTCAGACACAGAGTGGTGTTAGGTTTCTGGTGGGAAACAGAATTGAAGTTACAAATAAATACACTAACTAAAGTAGAAGACTGCTTTTCTAACTGGTGCATTTACAAGCTGGGAAATTGTGAAAAATATCAACCCGCCAACTGTGTGGCTCATTGGCTCTTCTTTGGGCTTCGATGTTCTTCCTGATAAAAATAATAATTATGTTATTCTGATATGGTTGCCAAGCCGTTCATGCTTCTCGCTCTGCTTGTGATTGTAAATGATTCTGCAGCATGAGTTGCTTTGTCTTTGATTTAATGTTTCATAACATTTGAGTGTTATGTTATCTGTGCTAATTTGTTGTTCTCTTCTCTTACTTTTCAGAATGGACTGCTGAATTATGAAGTATTTCAGACCCAATAGTAGAACATCACTCTGCCACTCACTCCTTTATCTCCTACTAGTTATTTGAATTGGACTTTTAATATCCTACCAGCTGCTCTTCAGACACACATGGTGCATTGTTGCCATTCCCCAGATTGCATCTTTGAAACACAGGCTCTTAGTAACCTTCAGCGAACAAAGAGGCAACCTCCCAGATAGGTCTGCTGGGAGGGAGTCATCCTGACTGCCCTCTAGCTTTTGCTGGATCTGGATTTGAATTCCATCATGGAGCCTCGCATGGAGTCCTGCCTGGCGCAGGTGTTGCAGAAGGATGTTGGGAAACGATTGCAGGTTGGCCAAGAACTGATAGACTATTTCTCAGATAAACAGAAGTCTGCTGACCTTGAGCATGACCAGACCATGTTAGATAAACTTGTGGATGGACTTGCTACCTCTTGGGTGAACTCTAGCAATTACAAGGTAAGCTGTGCTTTAGAAGGCACTTTAGTAGGTGGCTGGGCTGCATTGGTAGATGAAATAAAGATCCCTTGTGAGCAGTCAGCATGCTTCCTTGACTTCCAGTAAGTCACTCAATCAGGTTGTGACTTTGGGTTGTTTCATTCTGAAGAAAGTAGAGTTTTCTTTGATACTCATTGAAGATCAAACAGTCTTATCCTTTAGCACTTTCAGAGAAGGTCAAGTGAACAGATAAGGGGAGGCTTTTTTGTTGGAAAATTTATAAGCAGCTGTAGCCTTGAAGTTAATGTGTATATTGTGTCTTGCAGCAAAGAGGTCCTGAGACCTTGGTGAGTTGCCCTTTATGAATAACAAATGTCTTTACTGATTTTTTCTGGGGTGTAGAATTGGTATTAGGGTGTGGAACATTTTACTTTCAGGTAACTGTTGTGAAGCTGGCCCAGGTACCTGGACAGAAATAGTATAGGTTGTCAAGGACTTTGCTGTGACCTGTGTGTAATGGCCTGGAGGATATCCTTCAGGATCTAGAGGTCAAGGCTGTTCATGTGACTGTGGCAGGGGGTGGGAGGTGGGAGGTGGGGGTGGGGCTAGGTCCCATGGGTCAGATGAGTTGTGAAGGTTGACCGTCTTACTTTTCAAAGACAGTTTTCGTGAATAAAAACTAGATTGGACTTAAAGTGCTGAAGAGGTGGTGTACCTCTCTCTGCTCCTTCTCCTATCCCCATCCCCTGTTCTCTCTTTTCATTTTCCTGGAGGGTGCCCACTTTGGGTCAAGGTTGAGATGGAAGGAAGAGTGGAAAGTTTGCATGACTGCTAATAGGTGCCATAGACATTGTAAAAGAGGCTTACAGAAATAGAATCTTCTGTGCTTTTTTTATTGACTCAATCTTTTGAGATTGGTTTGGACATAAAAAGTCACAGGACTCCTTTGCTCTAGTATGTACTCTATTTTCTAAATATGTTACCTGTGGCCCTAATATTTTACTTACCACTGGATATAAAATTGACCTGTCCTGTCTTTATTTATTTTATTTTTCAATGTATTTTTTTGTTTTGAGACAGAGTCTTACTGTGTCGCCCAGGCTGGAGTACGATGGCTTGATCTCAGCTTACTGCAACCTCTGCCTCCTGGGTTCAAGTGATTCTCAAGCCTCAGCCTCCCAAGTACCTGGGAATACAGGCGCTTGCTACCTGTATTCCCAGCCAGCTAATTTTTATATTTTTAGTAGAGAGAAGGTTTCACCCTGCTGATCAGGCTGCTCTTGAACTCCTGACCTCAGATGATCCACCCGCATTGACCTCCCAAAGTACTGGGATTACAGGCATGAAACACTGTACGCGGCCCATTTATTTATTTTTGAGACCAAGTGTTGCTCTGTTGCCCAGGCTGGAGTGCAGTAGCACTATCTTGGCTCACTGCAACCTCCACTTCCTGGGCTCAAGCAGTCCTCCCACCTCAGCCTCCCAAGTACCTGGAAATACAGATGTGTGCCACCATGCTCCACTAATTTTTATATTTTTGTTTTGCCATGTTGCCCAGGGTTGTCTTGAACTCCTGGGCTCAAGCAGTCCACCCACCCCAGCCTCCGAAAGTACCAGGATTACAGGCATATGCCACCGCACACAGTCTATCTTAACCTGTCTTTAAACTCTGAGCTAAAATTCTATTCCATTCATCTGTTTGTTCACTTAGCTGAAGTTATCAGTTGCTTCTTATGTGTCTGGCATTGGTACTGGATGGTGGGAGTGTTAAAAGATGAGAGGTGATAGAGTCTAGTCATTATAATTTTGTTCTTTTTTAAAAGTAACTTTTAAAAAGTGACAAATAATTTTACATACTCATGGGGTACCTAGTGATATTTTGATGAATATAATTTGTAGTGATCAGGTCAGGGTAATTAGCATATCTGTCATCTCATATGTTTATCATTTCTTTGTGTTGGGAATGTTTAATATCCTCCTTCTAGCTATTTGGAACTATATGACTGTTAACTCTAGTCATCCTGCAGTGGTATAGAACACCAGAACTTATTCCTCCTATCTAGTTATAATTTTGTATTCTTTAACAACTCTCTTCCTATACACCTGTTTTCCTCCTGTCCTCCCTAGCTTCTGCTATTCTCTCTTCTACTTTTTGCTTATGAGATCAACTTTTTTTATGCTTCACATATGAGTGAGAACATGCAGTGTTTAACTTTCTGTTCCTGGCTTATTTCACTTAACATAATGCCCTCTGGTTCCATCCATATTGCTGTGAAGGACAGGATTTTTTTTTTTTTTTTTTTTTATGGCTGAATAATATTCCATTGAATATACATACCACATGTGCTTTATTCATTTTTTGTTGTTGGATATGTAGGTTGATTCTTTGCTGTTGTGACTAGTGCTGCAATAAGATGGGGGTGCAGATATCTCTTCCATATTCTGATTTTCTTTCATTTGGACAAATTCCCACTAGTAGGACTGCTGGATCATATTGTAGTTCTAGTTATAGTTTTATGAGGAACCTCCATACTATTTTCCATAGTTGCTGTAGAAGGACTTGTATAAGAGTTCCCTTTTATCTGCTGTCTTCTCATTGGGTTTATTATTTTTTTGTCTTTTTGATAATAGCCATTGTAACAGGGGTGAGATGATAACTGATTTTGGTTTTGATTTGTATTTCCCTCATGATTAGTGATGTTGAACATTTTTGCATAAATTTGTTGGTCATTGGTATGTGTTCCTTTGAGAAATATCTGTTTAGATTTTTTTATTTTTAAAATTGGAATTTTTTTTTTTTTTGCTGTTGAGATATTTGAGTTCCTTGTTTATTCTGGATATTAATCCCCTGTCTGGCAGGTCCAATGGTAATGGGTTACCAGAATTTAGCATTAGTGTCACTAAAGTTGATATATGACTCCCCACTGTTAAATTTGACTGGCTTATACAAAAAAATACCCTGTTGGAGGAATAATTTACAAATAGCTTCTCCTATTCATATTTTGTGTCCTATTCTGTAGTTTGTCTTTTTACTCTGTTGTTTCTTTGTTGCACTGAAGCTTTTTAGTTTAACATAATCCCACTTGTTTATTTTTGCTTTTGTTTCTTGTGCTTTTGAGGTCTATCTTTTTCCCAGACTAAATAATGTCCTGAAAAATTTCTTAAATGTTTTTCATCTAGGAGTTATATTGTTTGGGTCTTACATTTAGGTCCCGATCCATTTACAGTTGATTTTTATATAGAGTGAGAGATGGGGATCCAGTTTCATTCTTTTGTATGTGGATATCCAGTTTTCCCACTATCATTTATTGAAGAGACTGGCCTTTCCCCAGTGAGTGTTCTTGGCACCTTTGTCAAAAGTCAGTTGGCCATAGATATGTGGATTAATTTCTGTGTTCCTATTTTGTTCCATTGGCCTGTCTATTTTTATGCCAGTAGCAGGCTGTTCTGGTTACTACAGCTTTGTAATTTACTTTGAGGTCTGTTAGTGTGATGCCTCTAGGTTTTTTCTTTTTGCTCAGGGTTGCTTTGGCTATTCAGGATCTTTTGTGGCTCCCTCCAAATTTTAGGAATTTTTTTTTTTCTGTTTCTGTGAAGAATGTCATTGGTGTTTTGATAGAGATGGCTTTCAATCTGTAGATTGCTGTTGTCATTTTAACTATATTAATTCCTCCAATCCATGAGCATGTGATGTCTTTCTATGTGTTTGTATTCTCTTCAGTTTTTTTCATGGGTGTTTCATAGTTTTCCTTCTAGTGTCTTTCACCTCCTTGGTTAAATTTATTCCTAGGTATTTTATTTTATTTTTGGTAGCTGTCATAAATGGAATTGCCCCCTCCCCCCCCTTTTTTTTTGAGATGGAGTCTTCCTCTGCCACCCAGGCTGGAGTGCGTGCCGAGATCTCAGCTCACTGCAACCTCTGCCTCCTGGGTTCAAGTGATTCTCCTGCCTCAGCCTCCTGAGTAGCTGGGATTGCAGGTGCACGCCACCACACCTGGCTAATTTTTGTATTTTTATTAGAGACTGGGTTTCACCTTGTTGGCCAGACTGGTTTTGAACTGATCTCAGGTGATCTACCTGCCTCAGCCTCCCAGTGTGCTGGGATTACAGGTGTGAGCCACTGTGTCCGGCCGGAGTTACCTTTTTGATTTCTTTTTTAGCTAGTTGTTGTTGTATAGAAATGCTACTGATTTTTGCATATTTTGTGTCCTGTAACCTTACTGAATTCAGTCATCAGTGGTAAGAGTTTTTTGGTAAAATCTTTAGGTTTTTCTGTATATAAGATCATGTCATCTGCACACAGGTACAGTTTTACCTCCTCTTTCCAATTTGGATGTCTTTTATTTCTTTCTCTTGCCTAATTGCTCTGGGAAGGACTTCTAGTACGGTGTTGAATAGAGGATGAGACTAGGCATACTTGAAAGTTGGTGGGGCGTGGTGGCTCACAGCTATAATCCCAGCACTTTGGGAGGCCAAAGCGGGTGGATCACGAGGTCAGGAGTTTGAGATCAGCCTGGTCAACGTGGTGAAACCCCATCTCTACTAAATATATAAAAATTAGTTGGGTGTGGTGGTGGGTGCCTGTAATCCCAGCTACTTGGGAGGCTAAGTCAGGAGAATTGCTTAAACGTGGGAAGTGGAGGTTGCAGTGAACTGAGGTCACACCACTGCACTCCAGCCTGGGCGACAGAGCAAGACTCCATCTCAAAAAAAATCCAGCCAAACAAACCTGAAAGCTTTTCCTCATTCAGTCAGATGTTAGCTATGGTTGTTACATTTTTAAGGGCTGTGAAATCACCTTGTCTGTGTTTTTGAGTCAGCTCTACCACTGTTGCTGTGTGCATATTAGGATGCTTCTGGCTAAGAGTAATTGGAAAGTGACTCAAATGGCCTAAAGTTCTCCAAGGAAATCTAGTGTGTCAAATAAATCCAGTAGTAGTTAAGGCAATGTCTAGGGAAGGAGAGTGTCTTCTTGTGCTTTTTACTTGGGGAAGGAAACCTTTCTCAGAAGCTCCCCAGCA